AAGCGTAGGATACTGTGTGCTGCTGCCTGGCTTTCAGTTTGCACCACACACTGGAGTGGAGGATTCCCCCAGGCTGAGGGCTGCAAGTTCAGGTTCACTGATGGACTAAAAGCGTCTGCAAGGTGGGAAGGTGTTTTCCTACTGTGCCTTCTTGCTGAGATTGTTCAATGTTTGTATCCATTCAGGATTTATTTGGATAAAGAAGAATGAGTTTGTCCCTAATAAGATGAAATGGATTTGATTTTATTTATGGCACCAGATAGCAACATGACATGCAATTAAATTCCTACTTTTATTTTCAGAGAAGGAGGAAGTAATCCTGTTAATGTCAGCATGTGTTACTTTCTAATACTGTTATCGTTAAACAATAAGATTTTAAACAATAAAATCTCACCTGTGTGAGTCATTCTGACTCTACATAAGTTAGTTAATGCTCCTCAGATGATACCTTTTGAATAACAGAAAGCATTCTTGAAAACAAAGTATTTGAAGGTGTCATATCTGAAAGGATTGAGGTACTCTTTGCATTTTTTAAAAGGTGATTTTTAAAAATTCAATTGTAAAATACATTGAATCATTTTATTTTTAAACTATTATTATTTTTATTATTTTTATCATTGTATCAATGTTAACAGAGTATGTGGCATTTAACAAATATCTGGACAGATCAAATAAGTAAAAGAAAAAGTTGTCATTTGAGTCACACTTTGCAGAGATATCTGCTCCTGATTGAACACAGGCTCTAAATACAACATTTCCTAGTGTCTTCCTGCAACAAGCTCAGGTACAGCACAGGTTCAGAAAAGCTTGGCTGAACAGGGCTCACAGGGAGTGAGTTTTACAGCAATAAGAGGACAGCCTCCTTTTGTCATCTTGTTAGGTGATTCAGCTTCACTATTTGGCATCAGAAGGATACTCCTCCAAATGAGACATGCCAGGTGGAACACAGGAACTCCAGTTTCCTTCGAGGCTGGGGGTACCTGACATCTTATCACTCAACTTAAAGTCAAAGACCTGAAAGTTCTCAATATCATTTGTTGGTGTCACAAACTTGGGGATCACAACCACATTCCTCTGTTTGGAGCCGGATCAGAACCTGGGCTGAGGATTTTTTGTGCTTCGTAGCAGTCTCCTTAATCTTGGGATCTTCCAGCAGTGAAGGGTCCTCTGGCTTGGCCTGAGGTCTCTATGGAGAGCCCAGGGGGCCGTAGGCAGTAACAGCGATGCACTTGGAGTGGCAGTACAGGATCATTCTGTTCTCGTTAGATCAGTGTTCAATACATAGTGTTATTCAGTAAATGTTTCTTAAGTGAACAATGAATGAATGAGATAATAAATTCTGTTTAATAAATTCATGTGTGTATAAATTCATCAGTTTTGTATTATAGACTGTTGTGAATAGAGTAAAGAAAACCATAGAGATATAGAAAAAAACATCATCAGAGACACTCAAAAAGGTTCACACAGAAGACATCAATGTAGACTTCCATGGAATTAAAATGTTGCCATGTGGCCATTTAAAATATTGAAATGAAAGAGATTTCTACTCTTTTACATATGTTGGCATAAAGGTAGGGATCCACTTCTTTGTATATGCTTAGCAAATAAAATTGAGTCAAATCCATGCTAGAATGACACCACTCCCCTTTACACTGTATTATAAATTATATCTTTATGGATGTGATCATAAGATAAGATGTTGCAAATGTTGAAGCCTGTTATAGTACTGGTAGTCTAACAGAAGTGTTCTTTTTTTTGTACTTATTTGTATTCTGATTTCTGTTGTGCATATATCATAACACACTAATTTTGTCTGCCTCTAATGTTGTGAATTCCTACTTATTCTTCAAGATCTAGGTCAATTTCTATCTTTTAGGTGAAGCCTTCACCCAAATTTACACTCCTGTGAACTTTTGACTTGGATCAGTGTACCTCTCTGCATTTTTACACAGCATATTAAGATATGATTTGTTGGCTTTCAGTGAAATTGGAAGAATGAATGGAAATGTTGCCCATTTTGTTTATTTAGTATGTCTTCAGGATCTAGAAAAACTTCTTGCATAAAGGATCTATATATTCGCCGTATGGTTCATTTGTTAGTATTTATAGAAATGTGGGCAAAAATGGAATGGAAGAAATGAGGATGAACAAAATACGGTTCTTCATCTCCATATAATGCACTTAAGTTGTGATGACCACATAGAAACATGTTAACAAGCATTGGGATTACAAAGAAGAAATAGACATTGTGTTATTACTATATATAAAAGAATTTAATTTATATAAAATTATTAGATGTCATATACCAACCGTGCAGTGATATGGATATTGTATTGTACATGTATTTTTAAGAGAAGTCCATGGGTTAGATCATCCAGTTTCCAGTTCTAGCTAATAAAACAGAGTTTGGAGGGAAGAATTGAAATAGCAGGAAAGAAGAAATTTAAGATCAGTGGAATGAAGGAGTGGGAATGAATAACATGTTATATGAGGAAAAGAGCAGATCATCTGTGAATAGAAATTCTTAGTAATAAGGTTGGAAACATTCAGCCAAAACTCAGAGCTCAGCCACCAATTGTGTGACAGTGATCAAGAAAGACATTGAACCCTTCATGAGTTTCACTATACTTATTTGTAAATTGCTAATAATGATAGCGAAAGTTTGCTGTTGCAGAGCATCACACTGGGTATCAAATAAATTGGAATGTTCCCTAAACTGGCAAGAAGTTATAAGTATTAAGAAGTAGTGGGATACAAATTCTATCACCAGGGATGTCACAGCCACTTTGGGTTCTTTCAATATACTCGATAGTGTTTTTACAATAACAAAATGGCCTAATGACATATTTCTCAAAACATGTCATTAAATGAGACCTGACTAATATGAAGTTAAAATCTAACTGCTAGATGACCAAATGAACTCCACCATTCCATGCATTTATTTGGCAAGGTCTGATTATTGATGGGATGTAGAAGTCATTTTACACATGTCAAATCTATTCTTTCTAGAATTCGGGTTTTGGTTTTGTTTTTTAGTGTTTGCACTTTATTTTGTTAAAAACATAATCCAATAAAGCAAGACATAGATAGGGTAAAATGACTTTCCCATCCTGGTCATACAGGAGCAGTACTGGACTGCTTCTATCAGGATCCTTCTCTCATCTGCCATCCCTACAACAACTCTACTTTTGTCAGAAAGAAACTTGGAATGTTGCTCCTTAGTGAGACAGGGCCAAGGGAAAGGCTGGCTTCTTGTTGCCTTTACTGAGGGAACTCTAGGGGCCCTGCTTTTGGACTGTCTCCATCCACACTTAAGAGTTGCTTTTCGTGGTCCATCCCTATCCTGCCCTTAATCATACACACATGTAGATCAAAGCTACATTGTATTATAAATGAAGTTGACTTTAGCATGAGATATTTTAAAAGTGGGAGCAGTTTGACATCATCTTTTCTAGTATATTTGCTTTTACTAGTATATTTGATAACTGGTAAATATTCAAACAGTGCTGATTGGAAACACCAGTATTCTGAATGTAAATTCTAGTTTTCTGTTTAATTTGGTGTTCATTTTATTTCCTCAGAAATAAAAACAGTGGTACCTATGAAAAAAAAAAGATATTAAGTATAAAATTTACAAATGTTGAGCTGTATAGGTTTTGCTTCAGAGTATTTAAAAATTAATATTTGTAGCTCTTTTCCTGGCCACACAAAATTCTAAGAAATGATGAGCTGAGTTTTCTTTAGTGGGCCGATCTTTAGTAGAGTGATTTTGGCACTTAGAGAGGCATGTTGCCTACTTTAAGTCCCTAAAGCTGTGTGACTGACTTTATTTTTCCTTTGGAGCACTCTTCAGCATCTGTTCGAAGAAGTGGGAAGGCACAATGAGTAACAGCATTTTCTGGCCTTCCAATGCCTGGAACAAAACACTTATGAAGTGATTTGTGCTTTCAATGCTACCAAGAAAGTGAGACGTTCCTTTGTAAAACACATATTAGTGGGACTTACTTGCCAATTTGAAAGAGCCCACTGTCTTCAGGGTCTGCAAAGATAAATACTTATCCAAAACAACATGAAGCCTATTCCCATCTGTACAGGAAGCATTCATAGCCACAAGACCTTCCTCCCACAGGACGAAGCAAGGAAGTGTGATCAGCCTCATGCCTTTTCCTCTTCTTTTTCATCCGAAACAAGCATTTGCAAAAAAGTCTACCAAGAAATTATCTTCTTTGGTCTTTGTTCTGTTATTTTTAGTGATGTCATTTTTGACAATTCAGAAAGGACCATCAAAAAGAAAAACTGCTTTTGACAGTTACCCCGGAATTAAAAAAAAAAAAATATGACACCTTTCCCTACATTTTTATCCTCTAAAATGATCTCTTCTGAAAGAAAATAATATATTTTTCAAGGAGCTGTGATTTTCTCCCTCCTTTGATATACTCATTGCCTTTTCAACATAAATCTCATACAGAGACCATGCCCAGATCTCTGCAAGGGAATCTAGAGGGGACAGAAAGTATGCTCCATACTCTAAACTTGGGGGTCTTAGAGTCTTACTGTGCTAGCAAGGAAAAATAGACTTCAAGTTACTTAAGAATCCTTAGAAGTAGTGCAGTGGTTTTAGAGTTCAGAATCTTGACCAGTTATTAGTTCAAATCTTCCCTTTCTCTTTATGCTCTCCAGTTGAGATGCAGAGATACACTTACTTCCTAGAACCTCAGAAATCTGTGCAAAATAAAGAAAATACTAGTAATTTATTTTCTATGTGAGATGGGTTTTTATGGGTTAGATATGACAATTAATCATACTAATGAAGTATTTAGCATGGTTCCAGGACCCCAATTAAGTACCTTAGATGAATTTGCTACTAATTCTTGGAAAATACAGATGAAAATAATTATCAAAAAAGGTTTTTGATTGGCCTTCAACATTTACATTTCAACATGTATACATTTACATTTGCAGTTTACAAATATGGATTATGTTTTCATTTATCCTTATAGGTATTATAAATTGTTGTTTGGCATACAATGTTGGCCTCCCGGAAGCAAAAATATTTTCCGGTCCTTCAAGTGAACAGTTTGGCTATTCAGTGCAGCAATTTATAAATCCAAAAGGCAACTGGTAAGAATGCTCTCTTCTTTATGAGTTCAATAACAATATTATATACATTTAATATTAACAACAATTGCTTGTGTAATGGGTACATGATTATACTATTAATGGATAGCTCCCAAATATTTTTATTTATTTATTTATTTCCCCTCATTAAGTTTATTGGTACATTTTAGGTATACAGTATCATTATTGATATCTTGTACATTTACATGACCAAATATTTTTAAATGAAAGATCACTCTTTGAGAGTTAACAGCCACATATTTATTTATTTATTTATTTATCTCTGAGTTTATTGGTACATTTTAGGTGTACAGTGCAGTTACATTCATCATTGGGATCTTGTTCTCATTTTTTCCCCTTGTCCCTGCCCTCCCTTCACTCCCTCTTTGTCTCCCCATTTACAAACACTTTATTTCCATTTTTTCATTTTCTCATATTTTTTTCTTTTCCCTTATTTCCTTTCCCCTACCCTTCCCACTTTCCCTACACCTTTAGCCCTTTTCTTCCTATTTTTCATTGTCAATTATCTCATGGGGATATTATGTACTATTATAGTTTTTTACACCAGAGAAACTATTCAGTATTTATACATGTGTATCTTATGTATTTCACTTAGGAGTATATCCTCAATATGTATCCATTTTCCTATGAGTGAATCTAATTTCTCATTTTTTGTGGCTGAGTAGTATTCCATTTTATAGAAAAACCACATCTTCTTTATCCAGTCTCCAACTGATAGGCAAATGGGCTGTTTCCAAGTTTTAGCTATTACAAACTGTGCTGCTATAAACGTAGGTGTGCATATATTGCTGTGATATGATAACCAACAATATGGGAAAAAATTTTTACCAGCTGCTCCTCAGACAAAGGACTCTTATCTAGAATATATAAAGAACTCAAAACAATCAGCCCCTCCAAATATAAAGACCTGATTAAAAAATGGGCATCTGAAATGAACAGATATTTCTCAGACAAAGAATTAAAAGCAGCAAGTAAATATATGAAAAAATGCTCCACATCACTCGTCATTCGAAAGATGCAGATGAAAACAACACTGAGATTCCACCTCACCCCTCAAAGAATGGCTGCTACACAGAAATCACACAATAACAAATGTTGGTGGGGTTGTGGGGAGAAAGGAACCCTTCTCCATTGTTGGTGGGAGTGCAGACTGGTGCAACCACTATGGAAATCAATATGAAGATAATTCAAAGAGCTGGCAGTAGAGGTTCCATTTGACCCAGCCACCCCTCTGCTAGGCATCTTTCCTAAAGAATTAAAAGAAACAACCACATATTTATAACAAAGGGGATATAATGGTCCTTTAAAAAATAGTTTTGTAAATTTTCTCTAATATTCCACAGCAAATTTATTAGTATTTTTAAAATATATTTTTATTGGTACATTTTAGATATACAATAGTTACATTCATCATTGGGATCTTGTACCTTTACATGGTGTATCTTAGTTCTTATCTTTACCCCATTCCCCTAGCCTCCCTTCCCCCCTCCACCCTTTCCTATGACAGACTTTGTTTTCATTTTTTTCCTTTTCTCTTATTTTTTCTCCCTTTTTACCCTTCTTCTACCCCTCCCATTTGCCCAACACCAATAGACGTTTTCTTCCTATTGCAAAATATCAATTAAGCTTTGACTCTTATTTACACTTTTAGTTTATCACACCAGAGAAACTATATGGTATTTACACATGTGTGTTCTATTTTCATTTCAGAGTATGTCCTCAAAGAGCATCCACTTGGCTATAAATGTCTCTAGTTTCTCGTTCTTTATGGCTTAGTAATACTCTATTTTATGTATGTATATTAAAAAACACATCTTCTTTATCCAGTCTCCAGCTGATGGGCAATTGAGCTATTTCCAAGTTTTAGCTATTACAAATTATGCCACTATAAACATGGGTGAGTGTATATCACTGTGATATGACTCTTCTAATTCTTTTGGAAAGATACCCAGCAGAGGAATAGCTGGGTCAAATGGAACCTCCAGTTCTAGTTCTTTCAGGTATCTCCATATTGATTTCCACAGTGGATGCACCAGTCTGCACTCCCACCAACAATGGAGAAGGGTTCCTTTATCCCCATAACTCCACCAGCATTTGCTATTGATTGATTTTTTGATAGCAGCCATTCTTTCTGGGGTGAGGTGGAATCTCAGTGTTTTCATCTGCATCTCTTGAATGACCAGTGATGTGGAACATTTTTCATATATTTATTTGCTCCACAGCAAATTTATAATATCAATTTAAAGATGTTAGAGGGACAGATTAGATAGATGATAGATAGATAGATAGATAGATAGATAGATAGATAGATAGATATTGGACTTCAATTTTTATTTTATAAACTGATATTCATGAAGTTTTAAAAGAATCTCGTAGCTAATGCTATTTTAAGGTTATTGGATAGTAGAATCTCTCCTTAAATTGTCTCCTTAAGCAGGGCTCTGTCCGCTTGCTTCATTCTGAGTTAGATATCTTCATGCTATAGAGGAATGTGACCTGACAAGCGTTCATGCAAAATCTACCAAGGTGCCTTTACCACCTTTTATCTTTTCCCCTTCGGGGCCCACCTGTCTTGTAATGCTGGTGTTACATTTAAAAACACTGGCTTTTCTCCCTGGTGAAGAATGTCCACCCTCAGGGAGATGGAAATATATATATCCCTAATGCCCCATAGTGGTAATGCAAATAAACTCAGGCAAATTAGATGATTCTGAACATTGTATTTAGGAAAAACTGCAGTATCTCCTATGCCCAAGTTGCTGCCCAAATAAAGCCACAGGGGAGTTGTAAATGGAACCTTATCCCCATTCCAGCAGAAGGTTTCAAACTGTCCTCACTCACTCTGGACCTTCAGTGTCTTATTGCCACCCTCTAGAATGCTTTTCAATGATTAAGTGGGCTGCTCTTGGCTTCACAAATATGAGATATAATGATCTTTTTGTGTGTGAACTTATGTTTGATTGAAATTTAAATTAAATACTTTATTTTATTTATTTATTTTTTGGTGCCAGGGATCAAACTCCGGCCCTTGTGCTTGCAAGGCAGGTGGCAAAATCACTGAGCTAAATCGCTGGCCCTAAATCAAATACATTAAATTCAATATGTTTGCATGTTGGAGCATGCCAGTCTGTATGAAGAGGAAACAAATAAAATTACCGTATGTGAGAGCAGTACATCTTAGAAGCCGTGTTGGAGGAGGTAAATCATGAGGTGGATTTTAAGTGGGGATGAACAGGCTAGAGAGGAACATTTAGTAATGATATGAGACTACTTTGGAGAGAATTGTCTGTAATCTGAAAGGCTAAGAGCAGGCTGGTTAAAAATCCAGAGGTCAGAGATTACTATAATCTTTTGGAATTTGACAAAGAGTTTTAAGTCTCTCACATTTTGCTTCAATGACCATAACATAGTAAGATGGCTAGATAGTGTTGCGACCTTGGAATGGAGCAGATGAATTGTTAATAGCCCACAATTTTGTGTATCTAGCCCTGATCCTTTCCTGTAGACTCCCATGTCAAACAATCCGCTCAACATCTGCACTTAAATGCCTAACTGCATATCAAACCTGAGAGAGAACAAACATTCAATTTTCTGCACCGGCTAATGAGACCAAAAAAGCTTGACCTTCTTTTTCACCTCTCCAGTGTCTCATTTGAAAGCCAATTTTGTTGACCCATCACTAAAATATGTGTAATGTCTGAACCTTCCTCTGCCATCTCTCCTGCTGCCACCCTAATGGACAGCAGCACTGCTTGGTCTTGCAAGTGTCACTGCAATAGCTTCTCAACCTATTGCTTCCCTCTTGCTTGCCTTTGTTTCTATAGTTGGTGTGACTTCATCTCGAAAATAAAGCCTTCTGTGACTTTCACTTAATTTAGAATAATTTGAAATTCCTTTAAAAAACCTTCACAATCCAGTGCAGTCTCCCATTCTCATCATCCTCTACCCTTTCTCCTTGTATCTTGTGTTCCATGAACTATGTCTTTTATGTTCCTTGACCACACCAGGCTCATTCTTCCTTCAGAGCTTTTACACACCTTTCTCCCTTGTCTAGGAGTCTCTTCTCCCCAGGATCTTAATTACCCAGCGGGTTGCTTGTCACCTTTCAGTCTCAGCCCAGATACCTGCTCCTCATGGGCCTTGTAGAGCATCCATACCTATATATAACACTTTATCACACCTCTTGGTCACCCACCAGCCTGATATGCAGATAACTATCTACCAATTGTTACTACTAGAAATGACCTTTGTTCATATGTTCATTATGTGTTTTCTATCCTTGTCTCTGAGTACAAGATCATTGTTTTACTTGCAGATGTGTCCCCCAAACCCTTAGTGTTACCTGGCACCAAATAGGGGATTGTAATTATTTGTTGGATAACTGAATGAAAGTCTTACTCAGAATAATTTGCCCCTGGCAGTGTTTATTGGAGATGATAGGCCTATCATGGCCATAAGGAAACTCAACTACTGGATATTTTCTGGTTGAAAATTGAGTAAGACTAAAAGGTTCAAAGTCTTGACAGGAACCTATCAGGTAGAGTCCAGGGGAAGTAAGAGAGAGCTGTTTCTCCCTTTGTTCTCCAGGTTTCTCTGAAGGCCTTCGAGACCTGTTAAAAGGCAAGTCTGTGAGCAGTTAACAGTGAGATTCTGGTGCTGACAGGTTGATGTCAAGACCAAGATGTCAAAACCCCTGTTGGCCTGCTCGTAGATTTCCTGAGAGATATGTAAATGCTGGACATTGGTTATTGGCAGGCGAGACTCCACTCTTACTGGCCAGGTTAGTGCTCTGCACTTTAGTGTGGGGCTTTTCTAGTAAAAGGTGTCATTAAGCTTAGATCCCAGGCCTTCCCTGCAGCCTGTGTCTGTCTACCAGCTGGTAGGTGCTTCTTCAGCACACAGTGAAGAGAATGGAGAGCACCTGTCTGTCCTGGGCGGGCTAAACTGCTTGGAGACAAGAAGCAGGGAGGAACCAGAGAAAA